TCGCAGAGGGGCGCCCAAATGGTCTCCAAGACAAACTATGTGTTTCTGGAAGGGGCGCCAATAAAGTAGCGTGCCCCGAGCGCCAGTTATGTTCGCTACGCTACTGACCAAGGGGGGCGCCATAATAGGATCTCGCTCCATCCTAAAACTTGCCTCGGGCCAGCACTGTACACAGCTCTCAGATACTAACAATAAGCTAAAACAACTGAAACATATCGCATCCAAGCATGGGTATAGCCACTCATTTATCAATAATATAATGCCCACATATCAGGCCAGGTCAATCAACACCAATACTAACATTAACAACACAGAAGAGAAATGAGTAGTCCTAAATTACGAATCATTCCTCCATCACATATATAGGAAGATGGCCAAGGATTTAAACATACGCATAGCATATAAAAGGAAACCCACAGTGTTCCACCTTTTGTCTAACGTGAAGGATGAAACTGAGAATGCAAGAGATCCTGGAGTTTACCGCATCCCACTACAGGATGACTCAAAATTTTTGTTGGCTAAGACATACAAAAATGAATTTGGTGTATGTAAAGCAATTTAATAATATGGAAGTATTATTTATTACAACAACTGCTCAAAAGTGTAACCACCAACAGTGATGCAGGCTTCACACTGTCGATGCAGTGACCACCATACACTGGCCCTCTAGTGCTTCACTGCTTGAGTTCTGAGCATGCAGTTAAGGTGATTTTTGTTTGTCTAGTGTTCTATCACCCCCTAATGTTTGTATCATGAGTTTGATAGACCCTGTATAACTGAAAATAGTAATGAGATCGTCTAGTGAGGCTTCATCTCAGCTCTTGGTAACTGATACAGCTGGGAGATAGTGTAAAAAAAAAAAAGTGTGATATGATCTACACTCTTCTAGCTCCATTTGTTCATTCAAATAGATTTTCTACATACAGTATCCTCTAGTCAAGAGAAATGGCAAGTAAAAATAAAGTTTATATGTGAGTAAGAAAAACTTTTTTATTGATACAATATAAAATGTTATAAGAATTATTCAAAGTAACTTTAAAAGAACATACATAAAGACAAAATAGCCAAAGCTTCAAAACAAATTGAAGTTGTAAAGATGCTGGAAGGAGAAAACTCAAAATGGCACAATTTAAGACAGTGTCAGATCAAGTAGCATCAAAGGGGGCCAACTCAAATTTAAAATATTTGAATTAATAAGTATCTTTTATTAGCATGTGCATTAAGTTTATATTGCAGATGGTCCAATAAATCATGTTTGCCATCATAATATCTATAAAAACAACATACTGAAGTTCAAATATATAAATTTTAATTTCTTTTTGTGTCAATGGGTAGGGCTTAGATCTGCTAGGTGCTTAAGGTGCCAAATAAATGCCAAAATATAAAAAGCAGCATATAATCTTAAATTAATTCTTTTAACAATTTTGCTTGAATTACATCATCTTTTTTTCTCTGTATCATTTTTCTAACCAAACTATTTTCTTTTGATTCATTAATTAATATTACAGTAGCTATAGCAACTAAGTCTATCTCTAGAGCAGTATAATTCATATCCTGAGTTCTCTAAAATAAAAATACCTTCAGTAGAACACAAACAGCAGAAAAATTGATCGTTTACCTTTGAGATCTAACAAGATCAAGTTTTGTAGTGCATGATTTTAGACTGGTCTTGCTAGAAAGAAGGAAACTTTCTTTCAAAGTTATCTTTTATTCAAATGATAAATTCTAACATGTACACAATTTTAATATGAAACATTATAGAAAATGTTAATTTATAAGATATTTGAAGGCAATAATCCAAAGAAAATTTTTAATATATTCAAGTGATCCACCAGATCTTTCCAGTAACATACTTTCATGTTATTAAATTGCTTTACATAAACCAAATTCATTTTTTTGTGTCTTAGCCAACAAAAATTTTGAGTTATTGTTCAGTGACAATTACTTCTAATTTTTCTGGTAACAGCAGAATCATTTTTGAAAATGAATTTTTTTTCTATCTGTTTTCTGTTTAATCTATGGTTTTAATATTTTAAATAAATGTTTTATGCATTGTAACATACTTAAAAAAAACTTTTATCTTAAAAGTTTTCTTTTTTGCTATCCAAGAACAGAATCCCTGTATTGATTTTTGTACATATTGTAGATCTGAAATTGAAAGCAGCAGCTTCACATGTTTGCAAATGCTACTGATTCATATTTTTCCATCAAAAATAATTTTAATGTGTGTGTTAAGTTAAAAAAAAATGGTTCTTTCAATTAAATAATTAGTGATTTAATATTTACATTGGAATTTTATTAAATTATGATTTGTTTTGTTCCCTCAATATTTTGTATTTTCAAACATTGTTGTTAATCCAAAGAAATTATTGGTCCCAATTTAAGTCAAATAATCTGGATCCTGCCATATGATCAAAAACAACAGCAATTGTGAAATACACTTACATACATCACATGTTTAGTCTGGCTTTATCTGTTCTCCATATACAGCACATTGTGTATCTAAGATATGAAATGCAAAGAATACAAATATTCTACAAATGTGTAACAACATCATTCTTTATTATTTTTACTGAAAACCTGTTCAATATAGAGCAGTAAGTGAAATTATCCTCAAAATCTCAGACCTTACTCTCCTTTGTCAGCAGGGTCACTCTGCAGCCAATACAAGCTACATAATAAATTCTAAAAAATGGTGTTAATTCTAATTTCATCCACATGTGAAGAGCAAAAAAGTATAATTTGTTTTTTTATGTGTGAAGGGGATGAAACCCATCCACATGCAATTTGTTTCAATGTATGGTAAATATGCTCTTGACCATAGCAATGTGTACAAGAGTAGCGTAACAAGTTTAAAAATTTGTAAACCAAAGTTGTTGGTGTGTCAAGGCCTGGACACTTAATCTTCATCCAGACTGTAATCAATAGCTCTACTGTGAATGAACTTATTCAAAGTAATAGTCAAAGAAATTTTTTCAGTAGAAGCATGGATTTGGGGTTATATGTTTGCATTGTGCATATAGGCCTACCATCATCAATAAAGACTAGTAGTAGAGAAAGCTCTTGACTAGGTAGATTCCCAGTAAACTCAATGAAGAGCACATACAGCAACAGATGGTACTATTGTTTAATCATCTGCAGCAGTATCACCTGGAAGATCCAGAAGAAGGCAGTTAGGAAGTATCTATCAAAAGTCATTCTTGTCCACAATAATTCTCACCCACATGTCACTGAAGAAGAGCAAACTGCAATCTTAAAATTGGAAACTTTTTGACCATCCTCCAGACCTTGATGGATTCACATTCAACTGCACAATTTCTGAATGGCAAAGAAAAACTGGTATACCACTGAGAGAAATGTACAAACTAATGAACAACTACGCTGAAAAGTACTATAAGGTTCAACTTAAATTTACATACAGCATTCACTTGATGTGAATACATGTCCAGTATTAATACATTTTGCATTATTTATTGAACTGCCCTCATTTTAATGGTTGCACTATAATTGTTACAGATAAGTAGATATTTCCACTGTACACATTAAAAGATTTGTTTGATATAGGAATATTTAGTAAGGAAAACTCAATATGAGTGTTTATGATCTAGATATCAATTTTTAAAAATTCTTAAATGTTAAGGTTAGTAAAATTTAAGGAAAAATAGTAAGTAGATATAATAGTATAAATGTGTATTTTTATAGCTGTAAATGACTGAAGAGTGCACTACAGGCACTTAAAATACATATTATTTCAGTAAAATCTTAATGAAGTTGTATCAAATTGTGAATTGGTTCAATCTTCTATTTGATCAGAATAAGTAAACAAATAAATTTTTTTATAAACTAATTACCCAAAAAGCTTAAAGATATCAAAGCAATTAAATTCCCATAACGATGTATACATATCTATTACTAACAGCTTTGTAAAAATCTGAATTTGGTTTAACTATCATCATCCACAATCTTAGTAGTTGCCTTCATGGAGTACCAGACATCTTTCTGTTATGCTATCTGCTTCAGATTGAAACACTTTACAACTAGCCCACTCTTTCAGGCAATCTATCCATTTTCTACACAGTTGTCACCATTTGTTGCATTTGATACAGCTCTCCTTGTCTAGAGGCAGGCAGTTAAACCACCGTCTCACATTAATTTTAATAATTATAAATTAACTTTTAATTTTGAATTTCTGGAAGAAAATTCAGTTTGTTGAGATGTTTATGTAGACTGATGTTTTTTCCCCCAACTATTCCTTTGATGCCATCCAGTACTTCTTGCACCACCCAATTACTGAGGATTTTGACAGAATCCATATTGGTTATTGTTCTTCCCTAATACATTCTCTTGTCTTTGACCTTATTCTATTGAGAAAAGATTTTACACATGCAAGATAAGATTCATAGTTTATGATCATTACAATCATGGCAGTTTTCCTTTGGAATACATATCATCACATAGCTAGTAAAATCTGCCAGTATATCTTCTCTGACATACATGGAATTCATTTCACCATGTCTGTCAGTTGGCCATTCATGTTTTTAAGTGCTCAGCAAGGATATTGTCCACAATAGCTTTTTTCCCTCAATGGATCCAATCAATGGCATCTATCTTCATACAGAAAAAGGGTAACAGCAGGGTTTCCAAGGCTGGCAGCACTATTGTTTCCATTAAGCCCCTCCTCCCCATATAAAGTTCCCTGCTATATTCACACCATCTTATGTCAAATTTTTATATTAAAAAAAAACAATTTTCGTGATAACTCAGGATATATTTTTTCTTCTTAATTGAAGTTTTTAGACTATTTACAAAAAATTAAATTTTTCGAGTCTATCTTTTAAATCCCTTAAACACCACCACAGAAGTAACAGTTTAAAAAAATGCTTTGAAGAAAACTTCTAATGAAGAAAACACTTCTAAAACAGGTAAAAATTGGTAGAAAAAGTCCACAAAGTTAAAAAAGATCAAGTGCCAGCCTTTTCTTTTAGGTTCTGACACTTTNCATCTGGTTTCTTGTCTTCGGGATCATCAATTTTGGCTCTATCATCCCAATCCTCAGGCTTTTTAGCTTCAGGATCCTTGATTTTTTTGGGAGGCAAGAAATTCCAATCCTTTTCCAATTCACCACTTTCTACCTTTTCATTGTCAATTTTGACAATGTAAGTATTATCTGGTTTTACAATCAATGTGTATAAATGGGAATACACATCATCCTATTAAAAGAAAAGTATTTAAGCAATGAAAAATACAGTTAAACTAAAATGTGAAGTTTTTTACCTTGCACCTAATGTCTTTATTGATCAGAAGATTTTTTCCTTTATAATTGAAAATAACATGGACTTTTTTAGTACCAGGACCACAAATATCAGGACCTTAAACACAAAATAAATATTTAACTTAGTGCAAATGAAGCTTAAATATAGAAAATGAATCATTTTAATTAGAAAAAAAATTCATACCAAACATAATTAAATAAGGTGTTTCTCCATGTAAATCTTTCTGATCCAAACTGTTATCAAACAATTTCATGTAACCTCCTCCGCAATCAATATTTTGCTCATGTTTTACAGTAAATTGTATTACTAAAGTTTTCTTTTCATTACTAAAGGGGGAGAATTTTGAAGATATACCATAAAACCTAGCATCCTGGGAAGTTTGAATACCTGAAATAATTCAAAAATCATCATCATTATTACTACTTTAAATAATTAAACTTAAAATTCAAAATAATTAACAGCCTTTACCTTTATCCTTCTCGGCATCACCATAAAATTTTCCATGAGTTAAAACAAATTTTCCTAGTTCATTTCCTTTATGTTCTGACTGTATCCATCTTTCTTCCCATTTATCTGTAAGGAGAAAAAAAATTTACATTAAACATAACATAGTACATATAATATATAAAAGAAAATGTTTTTGTAATTCTGAAGAATTATTAATTCCAAAAATAAAAAAGAACTAAATATTACTATATTAAAATTTATGTATGAAATGAAGCAGTAAAGTTTTATAGTTCTACCAAGAACAGGTTCATAATATTAAATTTGATTATTACTAGCTTCCAAATTCATTTTGTTCCAAGTCAATGCTAGCAGATGCTACAAAATCATGCACTGTCTTCTAAATTTAGATATTTAGAAATTGAGTGGATGCTCCAATTATCATGCTCTTTTTCTTCTAAATTTAGATATTTAAAAGACAAAGAGCATAATATTGGAGCATCCACTCAATTTCTAAACATCATTTAGAAAATTTGTCATCAAATACCAAGAATGCTATGAACTTAAATTTGTTAAGTTATTGATCTTGTTCCTTCACACTCTTTTCAAGTCTTCTGTAATATTACATATTCTTGATCAAGCTCAATTACTATAATTAGTAAGAAAATTGCTTCTCAATCTTAATGTTTGGAGTAGTTCAATATAAACAAATCTATTACTTTAACTCATAGCATATTAATCATATCAAAATATTTACAAGAATCTATCAACTAAAGTTGTTTATCCTACTTTTCCAATTTCAATTCTATGCTAATTAACAAGTGTCTAGAATTAAGATTTAAAAGTAATCACAAAACACGAAAATTTGGAAAAGAAAAAACCAACATTGTTTCACTTGATGAAAAGCATTGTGACATCCTTTCACTGCATTACGTATGAATAAATCAAACGATCTAGTCCAAAATATTTAGCTCTAACTTACCTAATCATCACACACATATATCACAGATTTATAGCCAAATATGGTAGAGCCAGATTAACTATTAGTACAATAATTTAGATTTGATTTTCTATACTAGTTAGGGAAATGAGATAAACAAATTAAATAGTTAAAATAGATACAAGAATGGTCAGTAATTATCTTGCAATAATTATTGCAAGATAAATCCCGATAGAATGGAGAATATTCTAGCAAAGAAAACGGAAGTTTAACAGCTGTAAGTTTAAAAAACACACTAAAAGATATTGGCTTTATAGAACAGTGAATCATACCAAACAATCGTAGCATAAAAAACAAGCTAATTATCTGTCACTTGCAGAATTACGAAGACTATCAAATTCCCAAATCAACACAGCACGATGCAAGAAAACTAAAATTATATACAATTTCATCTAACATTCACTTATTTAAGCTACAGAAAATAAATGTACAATTCCTGTAAACAATCATATCTATTGAGGAAGTAATTATAGTCTGAATATTTTTAATAATGTCTTTAAGATACAATAGTTCCATGTTTTTGTAACTTGATTTCTGGAAATCAATTAAGCAAGCTTATTTTTCCATAAGTTGAAATTAATTCCAGTGAACTGCTGACTTCAGTGATCTTAATTATAATATTACAATAGAATAAGAAGAAAATTTGCTAATGTTAAAAATGAAAGTAACTGATGATGATAAAATTATAGAATGTAATTATTTTATAACTAGCTTTCCTAAGGTGTGCTAAAACTATAAACTTTTTGACTAGATTTTCTCTAATTAAAGCTCTATAAAGGGTGTATCAAAACTTATGGTCACTAGATATTATGGTTGGGGAGCTGCTATCATTCTCACCCTTTGTTTTCATTCTAGGAACAACTGCTCCCGATAGGGCGGCATTCAGATCGTCCGGCAGGTAAAATTTGAGAGTTTCATTAGTACATGTATATTTTTACAAGTGTTTTTGTACTGTTTTTAATTCTTTCAGTTTTATTTTTTGAGTTTTTTGTAATATGCAATTCTTGATTCGGCTTTAGATCTACTGTTTTCAAAGAAACGAGATGGAAATCCTTAGTTTTTTTTTACAAACAGGCGTGAGAGTTTGGAATCTTTGGATTTCTAGGAAGTGGGATATGAAAATGTCATGCACAGAGTTGCTATTCGCGTTTTTCATGAACTATAGAGGGCGCTGTATTTTTACAAAATGGCTACTCTATCTGGGTCGTTTGTTAGTCGTCAATGTAAAATGAATTATATATTACTATCTGATATAATGAAATATGCTACTTGTAGCAGTTCATCGAGAAATTTTATAGAAGGAGAACAAGTATTACTAGCAGGACACGTCATTTTATGTGGTATTACCGAGAAAAACGAGCAAGATCGTTCTGTACATTTTTGTGCTCTTTGTCTGCAAACATCAGCATTGACTTCTATCCCACACAAAATTACTGGAATTTTAAAGTTTATCGACATATCATATAAAATTGAATAGAATTACATTTTATTGAAGATAATCCTATA